GCGTGTGTGTATGTATGTGTGTGAGTGTGTAGTCACAAGGTTTAATTTGTATTCAAATAACTTTCATTTGCATNTGGATGGAGAATAAAATGAATCTAAGTAATTTCCTTAATGTACAGTGCGTTACAGTTACAATTCGATACATTGCTTTACAATTCATTACATTACATTACATTACAAAACAATACATTACAATTCATTACACTGCAAAACATTACGTTACAAAACAATACGCTACCTAACAGCAGATCACATCACATTTCATTTCATTGCTATTCAATTATTGTATGTAGTGCTTTGATGCGGATATAATGCTCAAATGTTTGTGTTTGTTTGTTTGTTTGTTTGTTTGTTTGTTTGTTTGAGTGCGTGTATGTGTCAATCAATCATTGAATGAAACAAACAACCAACCAAGCATGTGAGCATGAAATTGGCATATAAATTTAGGAAAATATGTACTGATGAATACATTATTCAACACAATCGCTCTCTTATTCATTCATTCATTCATTCATTCATTCATGCATTAATTCATTCATTCATGCATTAATTCATTCATTCAGGCAATCATCAAACTCAAACCTACCAATCAACCAAACCAACCATACAAACAGGAGAAACAGGTATAGGCAAATCAACCCTGATGAACACGCTATTCAACACTAACTTCGATTCAACGCCGGCCACACACGATCTGCCTGATGTCAAACTTTGCTCTCACACTTATGGTTTGTTGGTTGGCTGGTTGTGAAATTGATTCATTGGTTGATTGATTGATTGTATAATTGACTCCAGAGTTGAAGGAGGGCAACGTGAGGCTGAAGTTAACAGTTGTGGATACTGTTGGATTCGGAGACCAGATTGACAAAACTGATAGGTTAGTTGGTTGTTTGATTGATTGATAGGTTGATTGATTGATTGATCTATCGATCGATTGAATAAATGAATGGATGAATGAACTATATATTCGCCAGCTACAAATCCATAGTGGACTACATCGATGACCAGTTCGAGGCTTACCTACAGGAAGAGCTAAAGGTCAAGAGGTCACTGCACAGCTACCACGACACTCGCATCCATGCCTGCCTCTACTTCATTGCACCAACCGGACACACGTCAGTTAAGATGGCGATGATTGTGGGGATGATGATGATGATGATGATGAGGACGATGATGATGATTTGGATGAGGTGGAGAAGGAAAAATGGAACGTAAACACAACATATCTGCACTATCTTCGCCATATTTTCATCATCGCCATATTTTCATCATCATCATAACTCACTCCACATCCGCCATTTTGATTTGACCCAGATTGAAAGCGCTTGACCTAGTTACGATGAAGCAGTTAGACAGCAAGGTGAACATCATACCTGTCATCGGGAAGGCAGACACCATCACCAAGGCTGAACTGCAAAGGTTCAAGGCCAAGGTCATTAGAAATATGTTGATGAATATATCTCTTCATTCATTCTTTCGTTCATTCATTTATTCGTTCGTTCATTTATTCATTCATTCATTTGTTTATTTATCTGTTCTTTCAATCAGATCATGAGTGAATTGACAAGCAATGGCGTTCAGTTGTATCAATTCCCCACCGATGATGAAACTGTTGCCGACAACAACGCCAATATGAATGTTCGTTGATCGTTTGTTGTTCATTCGTTTGTTCATTCGTTCGTTCGTTCGTTCGTTTGTTCGTTCGTTTGTTTGTTTGCTGGTTGTTGCATGTTTGTTGTGTGTACCATATTATCATCACTACTTCATCATCGTCGTCATCTCAGGGCCAACTACCATTTGCTGTTGTTGGATCGATGGATGAAATCAAGGTCGGGCCGAAGATGGTCAGAGCCAGGCAGTACCCTTGGGGAACAGTTCAAGGTTGTTTTTTATGTTGATTGGGATTGGTTGGGTTTTCTTCGCTTGGGTGCTTCAACTTTGATTGGCCAGTCTTGATTGGATGGTTGAGAATAGCTTTATTTTGTTTGGTAAGTTTGAAATTTTGTTCTGGATTTGACAGAATAATTTTGAATGGCTAGCTTTAATTTGATTGGATTTACTTTGCCAGGTTTGATTAGTTGATTTCGACTTTTGCATCTTTTAATTAATTAATTAACTAACTAACTAACCAATTAATTAATTTAAAAATTCAAGTGGAGAACGAGAATCACTGTGACTTCGTGAAGCTGCGTGAGATGCTGCTGAGGCAGAACATGGAGGACTTGAGAGAGACGACGCACTTCAAACATTACGAGGTCTACAGGAGGGCCAAGTTGACCCAGATGGGGTTCAATGATAATCAAGCCCTTAGGTTCGTTCGTTCATTTTGATTGGATGGTTGGTTTGTTGGGTCGTTTGAATTGGATTGATTTTGATTAGTTGCTGGTTTAAATTGACTGATTTTGATTGGATGGTTTTGGCTGATGTCCTGGTTATGACATTAAACTGACCCTCACTGCCTTGTGAGTGATGTTGGATCATCAAAGGCTAGGCCCACCGCTTATAACTGTAGTTGGATAAGGAAGGGCGTCCTGCGTAAAAATTAGCCAAATAAATGACTTATGATGGAATGGCGTCGAGGGGTATTTCGGTTTCATCATAGGTAGCCAAACGGCAACCCCCGATCTATGCGAAAATGTCGTCTAAACGTGTGTTGTTGTTGTTGTTGTTGTTTGGTTGGCTGGTTTTGAATGCTTAGCTTTGATTGGTCATCACTCGCAAATGAATGAATACCCACCAACCTCCACCCACTGGCGAGCAGCCTGCAAGAGACGTACGAGCAGAAGCGCCAGGAACACGTGATGGAGCTGCAGAGGAAGGAGGACGAGATGAGGCAGATGTTCGTCGTCAGGGTCAAGGAGAAGGAGGCCGAACTGAAGGAAGCTGAGAAGGAGGTGCTCATGATGATGATGATGGTGTTGATTGTGATTGTGATGATGATAATGAAGATGATGGTGATGACGATGATAATGAAGTTGTTAATTTAGTAGATGCTTATATTATAAAAACTATGAATCTATCAGATCAATAATCCAACTAATCAGATCAACTAATCGTATTAATCTACCAATCATATCAATCTACCAATCATATCGTACAATCAATCAGCCAATCAACCAATCAAATCACTCCTTCGATCGTACGTACAGTTGCAAATGAAGTTTGAAAACCTGAAGAACCAGCACACGACGGAGAAGAGAAAGTTGGAAGATAAGAAGAAGATGCTGGAAGATGAAATGATGACGTTTCAGAGGAGGAAAGCCGCCGCGCTTGCTGCTGCTACTAATAATAGCAACGCTGCCGGAAAGAAGAAGAAATAAATGAATGAATGTGATTGGTCGGTTGTCAGAGATGGTTAATTGTGATTGGTTGATTGCTGATTGTCAGTTCTCTAGTTATAGGATTGGAACTACTCGATTTTGATTGGTCGCTTGTTGGAGTTGGTTGGTTTTGATTGGCCAGGAAGTGGGATTGCTCGGCTGTTAGATTGTTAATTAGTTTTGGCTGTGGAATGGATTGGTTCGATGGTTTGGAATTAAAAACCTCCGAATGTTACATCACTTCTTCATCTTGTTTATATTCCCCTCTGTTGGACTTCATCAGTTGATCAAAA